CTATACAACAATGACATACAATTAGAGTTTATTATTTATATCAGAAACTATTCTATAGTATATATACTATACAAAAACTGATCACTACGGCAGTTGTCTTCTATACGACAACAATAGAAAAAAGAGAAATCGCTTCTGCTTCTACTGCCCTTACCAATACTCCTTGTCATATTTATATGGTCTGTTGTACGTACAGGTTCGAAGGACGGCTGGAGCAAGTGGAGTAGCTATGGCCCTTGCAATCAAAAGTGTGAGAAAGTTCGCGAGAGATTCTGCTCTTCGAATGATAGGAATAAGTGTCCTGGAGTGGATAATTATGGTATACAAAAACAGACACTGAAATGTCCTGAAAAAGAATGCTATGGTAACTCAAAGGAAACTCATTAATCATTGTGTAATCAGTGAAGTGGTAACTGACGATTCCTCCAATGCATCTATAAATCAATACAATACTTTTATCTTATTTTACGCATTGTAATATGACGAATTGGAATGTTGAGTAAATGTATGAGTAAAACAATAATTCAGATGATGGTGGTGCCATAGACTTTTTTCGGGGGGAAACGTCAGTCCCTTTTTTCGGGAAAACTTATCAAACAAAGTATGTCATCATCCAAGGAAGTCAAATTTGTTCATCGATATAACTGACTCTCTCTAAAATGTTTGGAAATTACTAAGTATGATGTTGATAATAATGATTTCTCGGCAACATTTTGATATATTCTATTGCATTTCATAATTCACAACAACAGCTCCTGTAGATGGTCATTGGGGACGCTGGTCTTCTTGGAGTCAATGCAGCGCAACCTGTGGACTTGGTGTTCAGAAAAGGGCACGGTTATGCGATGATCCATCGCCAGCAAACAAAGGCAAACCATGTCCTAAAGAAAAGGGGGRAGAACAAAGAAACTGTCAACTTAAAAGCTGTGGTTTAGGTAACTCTTTGTATATTCCTAAATCAAAATATTGAATCCAAAGATTGGCGACATGATTATTACACAATATTTAACGCATCATTTTCTTTGTTGTTAAGTCGGTCATTTATAATAAATATTCCTTACAATCACTCTATGCTCAGRTCCATTTGATTGCGAGTTCGAAACTGATATGTGCTCAACGTGGGAGAATGGTGGAAATGCTGAGAAATATGTCTGGTCTCGCAGAGAAGGCCCAACACCAAGCAGAAAATGGAAGAGTGGACCAAGTGGAGACGTTTCTTTGAACCAAAATGGAAAAGGTAAGAAATATGCAAAAATAAATAAAAAATAAAATCCTTGCATACATGACTGATATATAAGTGACTAAACATTGCTGGATTTCGTCTCAGTATTGATATTTCTAGATCTCGTTACTCCCCGATAGGTTATTACGTTTATGCTGAGGCGTCAAAACCAGCGCAAGAAAATGATGTAGCAAAGCTTCAAAGCAAGGTGTTCTCTGCTGCTCCAAATGGAAAGTGTGTTATGCAGTTTGCTTACAGCATGTATGGGGTCCAAATGGGAGCTTTAAATGTCTACATTATCAACGTCAAATCTGGAGAAAAATCGAAGTTATTTTCGAAGTCTGGTAACCAAGGAAAAGATTGGCATAGAGCGGCTGCAGCTATTGTCAGCAAGAACGACTACAAGGTTATGATTTATCTTATGGTTTTTACTTATGATTTATCAAAGTGATAATACTGATCGCCTTTACAAAAAGAAAATATAATGACAAACAAATCGAAATCAACCACCATATTTCTATTCTTTAGTAAATTCTTACTGGTAAATTTTCAGATTTCGTTCGAAGCTACGCGTGGAAATGGCTTTAAGGGTGATATAGCACTCGATGATATCATGTTTAAAGGCGATGAATGTCCCGTTAAACAAGGTACAACAAAACGATGGCTCAACAACTCCAGTGTAGTRTATTATKAATATAAAGCGTTATAAGTCGCCTATAGTCTTAAGATGCAGCACAGGGCAAAGGGATAGCTGGATATAGGATATGTCCTTGGAAAGAATTGTAGAGAAGAGGCAAGCAACTAGTGACCCAACTATGCCCTTGATATAATCATTGTTGTACAATCTCTCTTCGCCCTCAATGTTTCTGGATTTGTGCATCCATATCATTAGCAAAGGATTTGACACTTTCAACATTCTTAGCGTTTCTATGCATGTTCACAGACAATTACAAGAGCTTGGGATGTTTTAAAGACAAAGGCTCAAGACCTTTCCCTAAATTGATTGCAAACTACAGGGGTAAAATTGACTGGTATGACCTAAAGACGTCTGTTATCGACAAGTGTGTTGATAAGGCCCGTGAGCTTGGGTAAGTACCTCGATTACTTCCTGGATTTCCTGGAGTTAAAACTCCTTATTGGAAAGATGATGGTCAAACCATTGGACACCATATCAACCAGGAGATTTTCTTTAAATTTGTTTTTTTAAATTCCGTTGATCAAAATTCTGGCTTCACGAGAAAGAAAATGAGAAAGACGTGAACAACCAATTAAACTGTATCTGTAGCAGAAAGCTCTATAGATGTGGAAAAGATATTCATAATTTCAAGCGCAACAAACCGCTGTTTTATTTCAATACAAAGCCATGCACCTTTGAAGATGTTCGGAACTTRCGGTAGCTGTGCACGTACATGCAGTCAAGGTGCCTCTAAGTTAGAAAGGGARGAAGTGAATGAAATGATTTTGAATAAATGATTCTAGGTACAAGTATTTTGCAATCCAGTATTATGGTGAATGCTGGAGTGGCCCTGATGCTGTCGTGGGCGTGAAGTACAACAAAGATGGTCCGTCTACAACATGTTGGAACGGTGTTGGTGCAGCATGGTCATTTATGGCATATCAAGTGATTGAGGTATATATTGACCCAATGTCAACACTCCTCACTCATAGCTCATGATAATTGATTGTTCCAAACGTTTTCCAATGTTGCGTAGTTTTCTATTGATAATAATTGTAGCGCTAGACAAGAGACGCCAAATGCTACTAATTCATGCTTTTTTAAAATGATTATCTTTCAGGTTTGAAGTCAAGATGAATGATTCTCAATAAATATGCTTAACACTTGTACGTGTAGTCTTTCCAACAGAATTACTAGATTAAAAAAAGGTCAATCACTCAATCTTCCTCTTCGTGCCTAGTGGTACATAGTAGGGCCTTTATAGAGCTTCTCTATTTCACTTTGTCAGCCGCCTTTGTCCGCATCTTCTCCTACGTCCTYCACCCCGCCTCTCCTCTTTCCTTCTCTACAGTTCTTCTCCAAGTTGTTTTCGGTCTCCCTCGTTTCCTCCTCCMTTCAGGTACCCAGGTCATGGCTATGTTACTGTGACTTTCTCGGTCTTGTCTCAATACGTAGCCTATCATCTTCCTCCTTATTCTCTTGACTTCTCTACTCAGCTGTTCTAGGTTTGCTCTTTTACTTAAGATTAAAAACAGCTAACCGGCCCAGAAAAATTGAATCTGCCCTGAAACAACACAATATGCGCAATTCGAAATCAAATAACTCGTGAAAATACCTTTGTTAGAGCGTCTTTGACAGGTTTATTTGGGACGAATCCTTTGAGAATTCGAGAAGACATATACTGCAGGCTCCTCGACTTAAACTCGGTTAAAAATTTTTTCAAAGAACAACTAGCCCTATAAACACATTAATATTTGCGCATTTGATCCGTACGCTAAAATAGCGCAAGTATTATTAACTCTTTAGGTTAGTTATTATACTAAATTTGCTCTTACATTTGTTCTGATTGAAATGCTGTTGTTGTTCCATCCTTTACATTATTGAAATTAAGGTTGAACTACCTAGATTATTCATCCAATCAAAAACGATAAAACAAATGTCGTGCGACAAATGCTTTGCCTAGAGAAACTCCGTACTGCGCATGTTCATTATTATGATCAATAGAATAATAATAATTCAAGTAATTGAACAGCACCAATTCAATCTTCAATTTAATCAACAATTCGAGAAAACGTACCCATCCATCGCCTTACTATTGTTTGGCAGCGAACTTTCTTGTTAATTGATAAAATAGTCAGTTTTGTTAAAATGAGTATCAGGTTTTATCAAGTTTTTAAAGCGGTTTTATATTAGTGCAAAATTAAAACGTATTCCACATGTAGTGGCCGTGCACAAGTGCACATTTTTATCGAAATATGCAATTTAACTGGACAACAGTCAGCTGAAAACTGTTTAGATGCGAATTTTGTCCCGTATTCGTTGCTTTGGATATTTTTTTAAAGTGATGCGCCAAAGTGATATCTGGTTCAGAAATGAATATTGCATTCTACTTTTAAACTAGACGATCATGGATCGCTTACGTGGGCTTCCTGTGACAATGATGTTTCATTTTCACAAGATAGTCTTTGTTTGTAATAAGTCAAGACAGAATTAAGTTAATATGTTATCAATTTATTACATCATAATTTTTTACCGAACTGAACTTTAAGTAAATTCTTTGGATACCATGTCTTTTTTCTCAGTTTTCCAAAATAACTAGCTCGACTTTACGCTCAAGAGCGTCTATATTATTCAAAATATCGGCTTACTATAATCGCCGAAACGAAACGAAACGAAACGAAACGAAACGAAACGATACTCCTGCTTGAATACCAATGTTTTCTTTAATCCAGAAGAGACAGAATTTAGGCTATCCGGCAAATCAGACTCAGACGGTCACGTAGCGGCATCACTGAGAATTAGCTCCATTTCGGCGATTATAGTAAGCCGATTAGGGCTTACTATAATCAACGAAACGAAACGAAACTATAATCGCCGAAATGGAGCTAATTCTTTGAGATTCGAGCCTTTTGTTATTCCAAAATATTCATTTGTGTAAGAGCATATATTAAGACACTGGTTTAGGTCATAAAGTTTGGTGTATCGAGCCAAACAGTGCATTTTCCTTGGCGAGATATAAACCGATACTTCGGTATTCTAGCTCAGTGATGCCGCTACGTGACCGTCTGAGTCTGATTTGCCGGATAGCCTAAATTCTGTCTCTTCTGGATTAAAGAAAACATTGGTATTCAAGCAGGAGTATTCCTAAATGAAGATTGAAGCGGCCATGGTTTTCAGAGGTCAAAGATGTAGCCGTGTTGACATCGCTGGCACAAGCTGGCGCGACGCCAACTATGCCGGCTTTGCAAACTGTCTGACTCTTGAACTTTTTAAAATTACTACAATTAGAATCAGTCTATTCATATTTTTACTTTGTTTTATAGCGCAAGTATGAAAAAGGAAAGACTATCAGAGTGAACGGTTTAATATCCTTTAAGCAAAGCTCGTTAACTTAAACTAGCCCGATTGAGTCACGTTTGCATTATTGCCGTGTGCGTGATGTTTATTGTGTTTACACTTTTAAAGATTTCTCAAAACACATTGTATATCTAGAGAGCTAATCCCGTTTCGTTTCGTTTCGTTTCGTTGAATACAGATTCCCGTTTCGTTTCGTTTCGTTTCGTTNCTATACAACAATGACATACAATTAGAGTTTATTATTTATATCAGAAACTATTCTATAGTATATATACTATACAAAAACTGATCACTACGGCAGTTGTCTTCTATACGACAACAATAGAAAAAAGAGAAATCGCTTCTGCTTCTACTGCCCTTACCAATACTCCTTGTCATATTTATATGGTCTGTTGTACGTACAGGTTCGAAGGACGGCTGGAGCAAGTGGAGTAGCTATGGCCCTTGCAATCAAAAGTGTGAGAAAGTTCGCGAGAGATTCTGCTCTTCGAATGATAGGAATAAGTGTCCTGGAGTGGATAATTATGGTATACAAAAACAGACACTGAAATGTCCTGAAAAAGAATGCTATGGTAACTCAAAGGAAACTCATTAATCATTGTGTAATCAGTGAAGTGGTAACTGACGATTCCTCCAATGCATCTATAAATCAATACAATACTTTTATCTTATTTTACGCATTGTAATATGACGAATTGGAATGTTGAGTAAATGTATGAGTAAAACAATAATTCAGATGATGGTGGTGCCATAGACTTTTTTCGGGGGGAAACGTCAGTCCCTTTTTTCGGGAAAACTTATCAAACAAAGTATGTCATCATCCAAGGAAGTCAAATTTGTTCATCGATATAACTGACTCTCTCTAAAATGTTTGGAAATTACTAAGTATGATGTTGATAATAATGATTTCTCGGCAACATTTTGATATATTCTATTGCATTTCATAATTCACAACAACAGCTCCTGTAGATGGTCATTGGGGACGCTGGTCTTCTTGGAGTCAATGCAGCGCAACCTGTGGACTTGGTGTTCAGAAAAGGGCACGGTTATGCGATGATCCATCGCCAGCAAACAAAGGCAAACCATGTCCTAAAGAAAAGGGGGRAGAACAAAGAAACTGTCAACTTAAAAGCTGTGGTTTAGGTAACTCTTTGTATATTCCTAAATCAAAATATTGAATCCAAAGATTGGCGACATGATTATTACACAATATTTAACGCATCATTTTCTTTGTTGTTAAGTCGGTCATTTATAATAAATATTCCTTACAATCACTCTATGCTCAGRTCCATTTGATTGCGAGTTCGAAACTGATATGTGCTCAACGTGGGAGAATGGTGGAAATGCTGAGAAATATGTCTGGTCTCGCAGAGAAGGCCCAACACCAAGCAGAAAATGGAAGAGTGGACCAAGTGGAGACGTTTCTTTGAACCAAAATGGAAAAGGTAAGAAATATGCAAAAATAAATAAAAAATAAAATCCTTGCATACATGACTGATATATAAGTGACTAAACATTGCTGGATTTCGTCTCAGTATTGATATTTCTAGATCTCGTTACTCCCCGATAGGTTATTACGTTTATGCTGAGGCGTCAAAACCAGCGCAAGAAAATGATGTAGCAAAGCTTCAAAGCAAGGTGTTCTCTGCTGCTCCAAATGGAAAGTGTGTTATGCAGTTTGCTTACAGCATGTATGGGGTCCAAATGGGAGCTTTAAATGTCTACATTATCAACGTCAAATCTGGAGAAAAATCGAAGTTATTTTCGAAGTCTGGTAACCAAGGAAAAGATTGGCATAGAGCGGCTGCAGCTATTGTCAGCAAGAACGACTACAAGGTTATGATTTATCTTATGGTTTTTACTTATGATTTATCAAAGTGATAATACTGATCGCCTTTACAAAAAGAAAATATAATGACAAACAAATCGAAATCAACCACCATATTTCTATTCTTTAGTAAATTCTTACTGGTAAATTTTCAGATTTCGTTCGAAGCTACGCGTGGAAATGGCTTTAAGGGTGATATAGCACTCGATGATATCATGTTTAAAGGCGATGAATGTCCCGTTAAACAAGGTACAACAAAACGATGGCTCAACAACTCCAGTGTAGTGTATTATGAATATAAAGCGTTATAAGTCGCCTATAGTCTTAAGATGCAGCACAGGGCAAAGGGATAGCTGGATATAGGATATGTCCTTGGAAAGAATTGTAGAGAAGAGGCAAGCAACTAGTGACCCAACTATGCCCTTGATATAATCATTGTTGTACAATCTCTCTTCGCCCTCAATGTTTCTGGATTTGTGCATCCATATCATTAGCAAAGGATTTGACACTTTCAACATTCTTAGCGTTTCTATGCATGTTCACAGACAATTACAAGAGCTTGGGATGTTTTAAAGACAAAGGCTCAAGACCTTTCCCTAAATTGATTGCAAACTACAGGGGTAAAATTGACTGGTATGACCTAAAGACGTCTGTTATCGACAAGTGTGTTGATAAGGCCCGTGAGCTTGGGTAAGTACCTCGATTACTTCCTGGATTTCCTGGAGTTAAAACTCCTTATTGGAAAGATGATGGTCAAACCATTGGACACCATATCAACCAGGAGATTTTCTTTAAATTTGTTTTTTTAAATTCCGTTGATCAAAATTCTGGCTTCACGAGAAAGAAAATGAGAAAGACGTGAACAACCAATTAAACTGTATCTGTAGCAGAAAGCTCTATAGATGTGGAAAAGATATTCATAATTTCAAGCGCAACAAACCGCTGTTTTATTTCAATACAAAGCCATGCACCTTTGAAGATGTTCGGAACTTRCGGTAGCTGTGCACGTACATGCAGTCAAGGTGCCTCTAAGTTAGAAAGGGARGAAGTGAATGAAATGATTTTGAATAAATGATTCTAGGTACAAGTATTTTGCAATCCAGTATTATGGTGAATGCTGGAGTGGCCCTGATGCTGTCGTGGGCGTGAAGTACAACAAAGATGGTCCGTCTACAACATGTTGGAACGGTGTTGGTGCAGCATGGTCATTTATGGCATATCAAGTGATTGAGGTATATATTGACCCAATGTCAACACTCCTCACTCATAGCTCATGATAATTGATTGTTCCAAACGTTTTCCAATGTTGCGTAGTTTTCTATTGATAATAATTGTAGCGCTAGACAAGAGACGCCAAATGCTACTAATTCATGCTTTTTTAAAATGATTATCTTTCAGGTTTGAAGTCAAGATGAATGATTCTCAATAAATATGCTTAACACTTGTACGTGTAGTCTTTCCAACAGAATTACTAGATTAAAAAAAGGTCAATCACTCAATCTTCCTCTTCGTGCCTAGTGGTACATAGTAGGGCCTTTATAGAGCTTCTCTATTTCACTTTGTCAGCCGCCTTTGTCCGCATCTTCTCCTACGTCCTYCACCCCGCCTCTCCTCTTTCCTTCTCTACAGTTCTTCTCCAAGTTGTTTTCGGTCTCCCTCGTTTCCTCCTCCMTTCAGGTACCCAGGTCATGGCTATGTTACTGTGACTTTCTCGGTCTTGTCTCAATACGTAGCCTATCATCTTCCTCCTTATTCTCTTGACTTCTCTACTCAGCTGTTCTAGGTTTGCTCTTTTACTTAAGATTAAAAACAGCTAACCGGCCCAGAAAAATTGAATCTGCCCTGAAACAACACAATATGCGCAATTCGAAATCAAATAACTCGTGAAAATACCTTTGTTAGAGCGTCTTTGACAGGTTTATTTGGGACGAATCCTTTGAGAATTCGAGAAGACATATACTGCAGGCTCCTCGACTTAAACTCGGTTAAAAATTTTTTCAAAGAACAACTAGCCCTATAAACACATTAATATTTGCGCATTTGATCCGTACGCTAAAATAGCGCAAGTATTATTAACTCTTTAGGTTAGTTATTATACTAAATTTGCTCTTACATTTGTTCTGATTGAAATGCTGTTGTTGTTCCATCCTTTACATTATTGTGCTTAAGGTTGAACTACCTAGATTATTCACCCAATCAAAAACGATAAAACAAATGTCGTGTGATAAATGCTTTGCCGAGAGAAACTCCGTACTGCGCATGTTCATTATTATGATCAATAGAACTTGATGTAATAATGCAAGTAATTAACAGTAATAACAAGTAATAACAGCACCATGGCAGTGCAGTGTCATCTGAAGCATTCAGAAAAGATCATATCATTGAGTTCGTTTCACCTTCATCACTCAATACACTGAATACGAAGATGCTGAAGGTGAAGATTTTAGTCGCATTGGTTTGTGGATCGGTTTGTGATCTGGTAAACTGTGATACAGCAACTCAACGTGCTGTAGGTAAATGTACTTTATTTTTTGTTCCTTCGTTGTCATTATTTTAAAATTATTATTATTTTTATTTTAAAATTAACATCCATCAGCTTACTTGTTTGGCAGCGAACTTTCTTGTTAATTGATAAAATAGTCAGTTTTGTTAAAATGAGTATCAAGTTTTTAAAGCGGTTTTATATTAGTGCAAAAACGTATTCCAATGTAGTGGCCGTGCACAAGTGCACAATTTTATCGAAATATGCAATTTAACTGGACAACAGTCATCTGAAAACTGTTTAGATGCGAATTTTGTCCCGTATTCGTTGCTTTGGATATTTTTTTAAAGTGATGCTCCAAAGTGATATCTGGTTCAGAAATGAATATTGCATTCTAATTTTAAATAATGTTTGCTATACATAATTTCCATATGTATATGTGCAAGGCTATTTACAAATCCCTGGAGGCAGGTGAATTTGCTTAGGCAAATCTTTGCATAGGAATGCAGAGGTGATGAATTGTTTCGATGGAGACCCCCGTACCGTACTTTAACATCAGCGATGATTTCTGTTTATTTGTAGATTGAAAGAAATAGCTTGCTTATACGCGTCCAGTTCCAGTTTTAATGATGACCTTCATGACCATTAATAACACACGTTTGAAACATAACTATCTCTCTTCAATTTGTTGTCATTCACACTGATGAGATTTATTTTGAAAGRATACTGCCTGGTGTTAATCTACTAGACTACTATGCAAATGTTACTATCAGATCAATGTGACACGATAGTCCATGTTTCAGCACCCGAAACTCAAAATGGTCCTAAAAGTGATAAATAAGTTTATGTGGAAGTAATCCTTTCAGACTATCTTATAAGATATATTCAGCTCGGTAAATAAAAGTTAGGATATTTCTGAAATTTATCAAAGAACTAGCACCTCATTACGTGCATTTGATCCCTATGTTGAAATAGCGCAATAAAAGTATTATAGAAATTTGATTTTTAAAAAAATTATGTTTAGATACAGATGACTGCGATTTTGAAACTGGTTTGTGCCCATGGAAAGTTGAAAAAACTGATAGCTTTAATTTTGCCAGACACAAAGGACCAACATTAACTTCAGAAACTGGACCAAAAGGAGACGCTTCGTTGAACGGAAATGGTGAATACAAACATCGACGTACCAATGCGTACGAAATTTTGAAAACAATAAGATTGCCTCATATGGAATTGTAAATAAAATGCCGATTTTGTTRATGAAATGTTCGATTCTGTTGAACGGCAATGTTGAACGCGTTTGCGCTGGGCTTCAAACATGTTTGAATGGTAAGTGCAGGTGCTTGTACTAAATTGTTGAAATGACTTCGGAAAGGCCTTCAGCATCATTCAACATTCTCGATAAGCAAAATAATGTTGAACGGATGTTGAAACAAAGTTTAGRCGAATTTAAACTGATTTTAAAAAATTGATTCAACATATTTCAATAATGAAARACAAGCRCAAAAACGCGTTCACATTGCTGTTCAACAAAGTTGAAAACAAATCTATATCTTTATCATTTTCAATAGAGATTCGATCTTTAACATCCTTGTATTGTGTCACAGGTTACTATGTTTATGCTGAATCGTCATTTCCAGCACAAGAAAATCATRTAGCAAGGCTTGAAAGCAAGGTTTCCCCAGCTGTTCCTAAAGGACGGTGCATTCAGTTTGCTTATGATGTATGGAGATACTATGGGAGCTTTGAATGTCTATGTTATTGACGTGAAAACTGGACAAAAGTCCAAAATATTTTCAAAGTCTGGCGACCAAGGAGAAGATTGGCATAGAACCAAAGCCAACATTGTCAGCAACCATGAATAGGGTCTGAATACAAGGTAGTGAAAAACCAGGTGCAACAATTCTTGAATTGGAAAAGGATGAACATAAGCAACAAGCTAAAAGTAATAACAACGACGACAACAACAACAACAATAACAACAATAGCAGCACCAACAACGGCAAAAAAATGTGTGAACAGAAAAAAAGCTTTAGGAAGAAAACGGTTTCATAAATAACTTGCAATTATTTTAATGTGATTCTTTTTTTTGCCAGATTTCGTTTGAAGCTACGCGTGGCCCCAGTTACCTGAGTGATATAGGGTTGGACGATATCATGTTTAAAGATGGTGGATGTGACGCTATACAAGGACAAGGTAATACATGTATCATATAGATTAAATTAATATAATTTGTATATAAATTGTTCACTGTCATCCACGTTGTTGTTTGTTCCAAGTATTCAACGAAATTATTCTCATATTCAACTGCTTTTTATAGGCTAAGCAATATATGTAAGGAATTACCAGTCCGTCGTAGTGAAATTGTGCAATCAAAGCGATTATTAATAAATGGATTGCCCCAAAATTGTTTTCCATTTGTCATGGGTTCGTTCGTTTGGTTATAGTTATGGTTAAACTATCTAGAGAAATTTATGCAATTTCAAATGATAAACTAATAGACGAGCGCCAAATATTTTGCCGAGGGAAACTTATTATGTTACAGTGATGAATAGATTTTGATGAAATAATACAAGTAMTTGAGCAGCACCATGGCAAGGCCGTGTCATCTGAAGCATTCAACAAGATCATCATTGAGTTCCTTTCACCTTCATCACTCAATACACTGACTTTCGAAGATGCTGAAGGTTACGATTTTAACTGCAATATTTAGTATATTGGTATGGATAAACTGTGATCTTATTGAAAGTAGGTGGATTTTTACAGCATTGAATTGTGTTTTGGTACCTTCCAGTACAAAATCCCATCTTGCTGATCAATTTATTTAAGCTTTTCAAGCGCTTTCTAAAAAGAAGAAGATAAAAAACAATCCAGTGGTTTCTATAGTGAGCTTTCTATTTGTTTTCTATTTCTATTTTCTATTTGTTTTCTATTTCTATTTTGTTTTCTATTGTAATCAAGTGAGATCGCGTTTGAATTAAGTATCGTTCCATGATTTCATTAGTCTCAATATCTTCTTTTCAGCGGAGAAAGATTAATTTCGAACGAGATGTTTTCCATCCATTTTTTCGTAGAAGTGGGTGAAAAAATCCTSTGTTCGCATGGTATTTCCATCTCTACACTTATCCAATCACGCTGGTCTCGCTCCGTTATATTCTAGCTACAGTCGAGGACGGCTAAATTCATTTTCAATCATTAAAGGATATCAGTTAAAATAGCCGACTTGCGAATTACGCATCAATAGTCACATACAAAGGAATCAAGACGAGGCGCCGTGCTAAAGACAATAGATTTTTCACAAAAAAGCACGGCGCCTCGTCTTGATTCCTTTGTATGTGACTATTGATGCGTAATTCGCAAGTCGGCTATTGTGTTCGCTATAGTTGATTTAACATAATCCTCGTATTTTGCCAATTTGAATTTGTAGAGTTTATTATATCATTGTAGTATGCATTTTTAAATATATTACAATATGTTTCTTTGTAGTTCACCTATTGTATATTTTGCTCTGTACTAATGTGTATTGAGAACTGTTCAACCGCGTCAGCTACAAATTCAAAAGTCTGTTTCTATATATTATATTTTTTTACCAGGTTCAATGGGGGAACCTGGAGTACCAGGTCCGCAAGGACCCTCAGTTAAAGATGGTCTACCTGGACAACCTGGTGTACCAGGTCCAGCTGGTATGCCAGGGCCACCAGGTTTTCCTGGTGCACCAGGTGGAGATGGGCTACCAGGTCCGCCTGGTGTACCAGGAGTGCCAGGTAAAGATGGGCTACCAGGTCCAATCGGGGAAGCTGGGATACCGGGTGCAGTTGGGCTACCAGGTCCAGCTGGTGCCCCAGGAGTGCCAGGTAAAGATGGGCTACCAGGTCCAGCTGGTGCACCAGGAGTGCCAGGTAAAGATGGGCTACCAGGTCCAGCTGGTGCACCAGGAGTGCCAGGTAAAGATGGGCTACCAGGTCCAGCTGGCCCAGCTGGACCAAAAGGTCCTTCTGGTCCAGTTGGACCACCAGGTCCGCCTGGTCCACCTGGTCCACCAGGTCCGCCTGGTCCGCCTGGGCTACCAGCTACTACAGTTCCTGGATCAGAGGATGGACCAGAGAAAAATTCTGGTAAGTAATATAAAGTGAATTTTTTTCTTTATAGAAGCGGTTACACTATTACTTTTTCAGGCGCGCGACTACTATTTACAACGGGGTCAAAGAACAAACAATTAACTTAAACAAAGTACCGACTAAAGAGCAAGCGAAACAACAAAACATCTCTACAAGAACAATATCGACAATACATGTTGATTTAAAAATCTTAAGTCAAATCATTAAATTAGTTTGTAAAAATGTCAAAAACACACTTATAGATTTTCGTTATCGAATCACTTTTCAGGGAATTACAAGAGCTTGGGATGCTACAAAGACAAGCGTAAAATCAATGCTAGACCTTTTCCAAACATGATCTCGAACTTCAGGGCTGCAATTGACTGGAATGACCCAAAGACGTCGATGACGTCTGTCATCGACAGGTGTGCTAAAGAGGCAAGACGACGTGGGTATGAACAACTTTTCTATAAATATCGAGACTAAATTAAAATCGGTATGCTGGATTTTCACCGGTAAATAAAATAATTGTACGTCCAATCAGAAGCACGTATAGCATTTCCCACATGCAAAATATAACCAATCGTACAACAGATGGTAATCAGCCAATCAGAAAGCGAGGAATAGATTCTCTCACATACCATGCGATATTGGCAAAATGACCGAAAAGACATATTGACTAGTTTTGACAATCTACAATCTACCATTGAAGAGTTTATCAATGGACAGGAATGCAAAAATATATTGTTCTTCAAGAGATGTTTTTTTTAATTCAAATAATGACATCAAGTATGGGAAACATGCAGGCAGTCTAATGAACTTATACAAAGGTTTTCTCATTAGTGTCTATTGTCCATTCGTCCAACATGGCCGCCGGTCTTTAGTATCTTTTGAATATTATATTATGGAAATGGTTGAAAATAATAAATTTAAGTGCTATCTGTATTTTATATTGATAACTGTTTAGGTACAAGTATTTTGGAATCCAGTTTTACGGCGAATGTTGGAGTGGTCCTGATGGTGCTGTACGTTACGACAAAGACGGCCTGTCCACTGACTGCTGGAGTGGTGTTGGTAAAGGAGGGTCTCTAAAGGTTTACCAACTGGTTGATCAACAAAGGTATGGGATACATACACTCGTCAATAGGTGTCTTAGAGTATCATGGGTACCTCAGTCTCTAAATAAGCTACACCGTAAAGTCCTTTCAACGAACTTAAAATTATTTTTTGATATAATATCCTGATATTTTTTTCTTTATGTTTTATGATAAAGAATTTAATAATGAATGTTTGTTTTGATTCACTTTTAGGTGATCCTGTCTTAAAAGTACAGTATGAATTAGCAATAAATATACTTTTATCGCTAGTCTGTCTGTCTTTTTATCGGGGTGACTGCTACTGATTTGAAATTAATAAAAAAAAAATCAGAGGATCTTTTAGAGGGGAATATGCTCCCTCCAGTAAGCTATAAGGGACTTGAAACGTGTAACTCCCGTACATTTCTTTAATACCAAGCGTCGGAATATTCAAAGCTGCSCATTCTGGTTGGATATGTAAATTTAATTGTTCCAAATAAGGAAATGAGATGCAAATTAGATTTGAATATTCCCACGGTCGGCACGGCGTTACACGTTTCAAGTTCCTTATAGGTTTCTGCTCCCTCTTAATCCCAGGTTTGCATATAAGTGTCTCGATCGAATACTTCCAAAGCACCATTCTCATCTGCATATGAAAGAATTGAAAAAAAATTATCAAAATATTCATTTTATTCAATGCTCAACACAATGTCTTTTAGTTGAATACCTAAATCACTCTTCCTTATAAAAAAAAAATTGGCCGAAAGTGTCTCGAGCATTTCCGATACACCGAAGATTGGACGGAAAGCAAGCGATAGTCTAATCGCTAAACTACGTTCTTTGCTCGTGCGTTCGATATCATTTTCTGTACTTCGAAAAGGCGTTTGCAATCCTAAGCTCTTGGCCCTTTATGAGGAAAATTGGGGCTCCATTTCCTTCTATACTTCCCTAATGCAGTGCACAATGCAAATATAGTAGACCAGATACCCCTCAAAAGAGATGCTACTAAACAGAAGTGTCCTACACAATCTGGCACGAGCATGTCTTGCATGTGGGACATTGTTTACCTAACTGCGTATGCCTGTGTACTTAGTTAAGAAAAGCGAAAATATCTATGACAGATTTACATGATATAGAAATGAAAGAAAGTTATAGTGCTTAGAAGATTTATGCGCAGTCACATAAAAAATATTATAAAAATCACTTTTTTAAAATCATTTGTAGGACCACACTGCACGATTTTTAATTCTGCGATATAAAKATTATCTTTGGTATCCTAAGATACTACAAATGAAAATATCCAAATCAAGTATATGAAATAGTACTAACGAACCAATGTTGAATTAATGACACAATCGAAGACAAAGTAACGTACTTGAAACCTAAGATGTTTCCTTACTTCCTCGCCGATCATAGTAGTATTACAAAGTACATAATGCCATGTCACTCGTGAAATTTGTGATTATATAACCACAAATATGAGTGAAACATTTTGTTATGAATTTTGAAAGATAGAAAATTACATTTTCATCTGTAGGTTTCATCAGTTGAATAGCGTTATTTGGCTGAGAAAAATCAATCTTATCGGAAATCTTTGATTGAAATTCTAGCCGAAGATYAATTTAGATAAGCTTGACAAGCAGAAATCATGTGTTGTTCTGTTTTCGCAAAGTGAACAAAATCTCTGATTTCGAGGTGTGTGGTTTAGTACACAGGCCCGTAGCAAGGCCCCCCACTTTTTGGACAAATAATAATAATATATAAGCGAAACAGTACAATTATTCTGACCTAAAATGAAATATGACCGAACAAATGGAACTTCTACCTCAAGTAGCCAAGGGATCTGATTGAAGCAGATTTGATGTAAATGATCTAATTCAACTATACTATATCCACCAAACCTGGTGCAAAAGTGTTTTTAATCCTAAGTATCTACCCTTGGAAAGATCCTGGTATATCTCCCTGTTTCAATAGSTAGTTTATAATTACTTATTTCACGAGTGACATTGGTATTACTTTGTAATACTATGATCGGCGAGGAAGTCATAAGGAAACAGCTTTGATATCATGTCCAGTTTTCTAATCAAGGAAGCCGGTAAACAACGCCAAAATGCGTAACCAGCGTGTTGTACACCTAGGTTCAGGCTTGATAATGATGTAATCAAACAATAGTTTTCAACTTCTATTGTGTAATTAATTCAACATTGGTTCGTTAGTACTATTTCATATATCTCATATAYTTGATTTGGATATTTGAACACAACTTAATTTGTAGTCCCTTAGGGTAGCAAAGATAATATTAATTAATTTAATCACTATATTGAAATTTAATCACTCTTTACAGTGATCACAAGATTTTGATGACAAGTGATTGAACAGCACCATGGTGACACCATGGTAGTACTATGTCATCTGAAGCATTCAACAAAGTTCATATCATTGAGTTCGTTACACCTTCATCACTTAATACACTGACCTATGAAGATGCTGAAGGTAAAGATTTTAGTTGCATTGGTTTGTGGATTAATTTTTGATTTGGTTAACTGTGATGCAGTAACTCAACGTACTGTAGGTAAAGGTGATTTACGTTATTCTTTGTTTTTTTGTTTCGTTGTTATTTTTGCTAGGCTGTTTAGACAAAGTTTTTAAATTTGATACACGATTCCACATACACCGTCCATCATCTCAACCCTCTGGGCGAGCCAAATRCCTTAAGGAGTTATATAAAATGATTASGAAAAACCGTGTACATCGTGCAAATTGCTTGTCGAAATATGCACTTYAAAAAGTGAGCGCAAGCTGACCAGTATTTTGGTGMGATTTTATCATTGATGAGATTTTTAACAAAAGAATAGCAGTAGTAGCAATAAATCAAACTGCTCTTATTCAAGCTGTTTGTAGCTCTTCGCGTATAAATTGCTCCTTTTAAGTTGAAAACTATGACAAATTATTCTTCAATGTTAAGCTAGCCTATTTTTGCAAACGAATATGATTTATATACATGATTATGTCTTTAGTTGTCAATCTAAGTACACATTTTATGAATTAATTATAGAAACATATTCAAATATTCATTACAGGTGGACCGGGTAGCCCAGGTAGCCCAGGTGGACCGGGTGGGCCTGG